AGTTCGCGAGAACTTTCTGCTCAGGAACGGGCAGCGGCGGCGATGGTGGTGTCTGGACAGAGGAGATTGAGTATTTGGATGAGTCCGGCAGTTTAATTTATGCCGGGAAAGGAGTGAGGGCAGTGGAACCTGGAATCGACGACCATGTGATGATTGGTGGGCTGAAGAAGCCTATCCTAAACGCTTCTGCGGTGGCGAAAATTGTCGAGGTTGCAAAGAGGTGGAGATGGGGTCCTGAATTGGAAACCCAGCTGGACAATCTGCAATTTGTGCCGACCATGACCCACGTCATTCAAGCTATGAAGCTCATCGATGATCCTGGTGCCTTGTTGAGTTTGTTCAAATGGGGTAAGAGGCAGCCATGGTATGTCCCCAGCGACGAGTGTTACGTCATGTTGTTTGACGGGCTGAATCAAAGCAGAGATTTTGATGCCATTCAGTTGTTGTTTGATGAGCTGGTTCAGGATTCGGGTAAAGCTCAGGTTCCTTCTTCGTTTGGTGCGCACAATAGGGTGATCCAGCATTTGGCTAAAGCTGAGAAGCTGGAGGTGTCATTTTATTGTTTCAAGAAAGTTCAGGATTCGGGCTGTAAGATTGATACGCAGACCTATAATGCGCTGATAACTCTGTTCCTGAACAAGGGTCTGCCTTACAAGGCATTTGAGATATATGAGAGCATGGAAGCAGCTAATGCTTCTCTGGATAGGTCAACCTATGAGATGATGATACCAAGCTTGGCAAAGTCAGGAAGGCTTGATGCAGCTAATCAGTTGTTTCAACAGATGAAGGAAAAGAAAATTCAACCGAGCTTTGGGATTTTCTCAGCCCTCGTTGATTCCATGGGCAAAGCAGGGAGGTTGGACACATCCATGAAAATCTACATGGAAATGCAGGGTTTTGGACACAGGCCATCTGCCACCATGTTTGTTTCGTTGATAGAATCATACGCCAAGTCAGGGAAGCTAGATAGAGCTCTAAGGCTATGGGATGAGATGAAGTTGACCGGTTTCAGGCCTAACTTCGGCTTGTATACATTGATAATCGAGTCCCATGCAAAGTCGGGGAAGCTCGACATTGCAATGTCCATTTTCAGCGACATGGAAAAAGCTGGCTTTCTGCCAACCCCATCAACATATTCCTGTCTTCTGGAGATGCATGCTGCTTCTGGACAAGTAGATTCTTCCATGAGGCTATATCACTCAATGACTAGTGCAGGCCTTAGACCAGGTCTGAGCACCTACACTTCCCTTCTAACCCTTTTAGCCAATAAAAAGCTCGTTGATGTGGCAGCGAAAATCTTATTGGAAATGAAAAGTATGGGGTTCTCAGTTGATGTTAGTGCCAGTGATGTTCTAATGGTGTACATAAGGGATGGTTCGGTTGATCTTGCTCTGAGGTGGCTGCGTTTCATGGGCTCTTCTGGGATTAGAACAAATAACTTCATCATCAGACAGCTCTTTGAGTCTTGTATGAAGAATGGTTTGTATGAACAGGCCAAGCCACTGATCGAGACTTACATAAACTCTGCTGCTAAAGTGGATCTAATCCTCTACACTTCTATACTAGCCCATCTTGTTCGGTGCCAAGATGAGCATAAGGAGAGGCATCTGATGTCGATCCTGGGCAGTACGAGGCACAGGGCCCACGAGTTCATGTGCGGGCTTTTCACCGGCCCTGAACAGAGGAAACAGCCAGTGCTGTCCTTTGTCAGGGAGTTCTTCCAGGGAATAGACTATGAGTTGGAGGAAGGAGCGGCGAGGTACTTTGTGAATGTCCTGCTTAATTACTTGGTCCTGATGGGACAGATTAACAGAGCGAGATGTGTCTGGAAAGTGGCGTATGAGAACAAGCTGTTTCCAAAGGCCATTGTGTTTGATCAGCATATCGCTTGGTCACTGGATGTGAGGAACCTCTCAGTGGGGGCTGCTCTGATAGCAGTTGTGCACACGCTCCATAGGTTCAGGAAGCGGATGCTGTACTATGGGGTGATACCGCGACGCATCAAATTGGTGACTGGGCCAACCCTGAAGATTGTGGTGGCTCAGATGCTGAGTGGGTTGGAGTCGCCGTTTGAGGTGAGCAAGGTGGTGCTAAGAGCACCAGGGGATGGGGTGATGGAGTGGTTTAAGAAGCCCATTGTGCAGCAGTTTCTGGTGAATGACATTCCGTCGAGGGCTGACATACTCATGCACAAACTGAACATACTATTCCCTAGTTCTGCGCCTGAGATCAGATCACTCTCCCCTCCCAAACCACTTATGTCCGTGGGTGCGAACAGGGCTATGTAAAAAGGTAATGAGCAAGTTTATTTAGGCTTTTTTTCTAAAAGGAAGTGACTTGTTTGTTTTCTGAAAGGAACAGGGCTATGTAAAGAAGACATCTTCGTACAGTCTCACTGAGGATCATTATGTGGATGTTTGCTTGTACTCTGCTGGCGCATATGTTATCAAATCATAGGGTGCTTGAAAAGATTAGGCAAGCGATTAAGCATATGCTAGGATGAGGTCAGGATTGCGGTTTGGTCTCCATGGGACTCCAAGTTGGAAACATTGCGTTGACAAGGTGGGGTGGATAAGCCAGAAAGCCCAACTTATTCATCTAATGGAGCGGGAGACGACAGAGGGCTTATGGGAACGTTACAGGTTGGAGAGAGAAGTTTATTTCCCTAACTGGATTCCCCATGTGTGCTATTCGAAGCTAGAGAAGTATCAAGAGAGCACTTGTTCGTCGACTGTGAATTTTCAGAAGTTTTGTCCAGTCTGTTTGTTCAAATGCTGACAGCACAGTTATGTGTGGCTTGAAAATCTGTCAGCTACGGGTGCCTTGGGAAATAAGCTACTGCTAGAGGAAGAATGTCCAGAATTATATGGTGCTTGTTGGTCTCTACTTTGTGGAAAGAGCATTGTTGCAGGGAACATGGAGAAGCTCCGAGAAGTAGGGCAGATCTCATCATTGCCATCAGGGCTGAGATCTGTCTGCTAGCTATGGATAAACTTGGTATGGATAGTGTATTGCAGTGTATTGTATGGACCTCAGTTCTTAATTTAGAGGCTCTTTTTGCTGCTATGCTGCTGCTTTATGTTTTGGGGGGGAGTAGTTTCAGCTTATATTAATGTAGCAGTACTCTGTTTTTGCGGTTTGCTGTTACAGCATTAAAAAATTTTGAGTAATAACATTCAATGAATTCATCGAAAAAGTTTGTTTTCGTTGTTGAAGCCATGGATGGGGCGAGTTAAAGAGCGTGCTTGAAAATGGGAACACTTACTCCTGTGTTGTTCAACTCTGCAAATCTGTGTGAAAGAAGTCCAGCTGAGTTTGTGATAAATTCATTTCGTTTGAATGAAGCTGTGTGAAATTTGATTGGTTGCTAGGGAAATCATCAATGATTCAGACTCAGACATGAACTTGAAGATTAATTGTATGGTGGAGTTAGGGGCATGAAGTTTATAATAGATATATCTTCTGGGTTCCTTGTGGACGTGGTTCCTCTTCAAGCATAATGCAAGTAGTAAGATTTTTTTCCCCGGCAGCACGCGGTGACATGGCAGTACATAGGCCAAATTCAGAGTAATTGTGATATTTTATGCCGTGGCTGATCCATTCGCGCATCTTGTTGAAGCAATGTAGGCTGGTAGAAAGTAATTTTATATTTTACTGAGCAATTCATGATCAAGCAACGCAGAACAGTGCTGACCTGGTCTTGTCGATTCGCGGCGGAAGCTGACGGTTCCTCCGCTGCTGCTTAGCTGCCCACGTGCATCCTCAGATTGCGGCTCTTTGATTCGTTCACGCTGGTTGAAAGAGTAGATTGGTTTGTTTCTACTCTGATATGATGCCCTTCCTTTGTACATTTCGAAGAGGACTAAAGAAGGTAGTATGCTGCTAGCCGCAAGCTTACAGGGAGGAGCATTTCCTTGTGGCGACAAACACTAAGGACCCATGGCGGATCTTCTCAAGTCAAGTGAAGTAGAATATATATTGTTTGTTCATAAAGGTGTCCATTTTCCAAAGTGGAGCTTAATTCCACCAGTTAGCCGTAACAGTTGCCAAACCAAAGACCCTTCTCTTTTCAGTCTCCAACTTCTTTCTTACACTTCCACAATCTGTCTTTCTCTCTCTGTCCTCTCTAAAAATTCATACTTTCATTTGTTCCCTCTGCATTTTCTTTTCGTATATATACTACAGTTACCAGAGTCTCTCTTCATCCACAACCCACCAATCACTGATCATCTGGTGTGTTTCCTCTTTTTAAAGTGTTTCTACCTCTGCAAATTTTTAGTTCAAGCAGCAAGTTCTGTGAACTCCAGGAACTATCTGCTGCCTTTTCCTTTTAATCGAATAGCTACAGCCCAGAAAGGAAAAAAATAATGGGTGTCCAGTCACTTGATGCAGTTATGAAAGAATCCGTCGATCTGGTATGTGATTGAATAATGTCTGCTAACTTACTTTGTACAATGTACAAGGAATAGCTTCGTTTGGCTGAACTTTTCATCCCTGGACAGGAAAATGCATCAATGGAAGAAGTTTTTGAGCATCTCAAATGCACAAGGGAAGGTCTGAGCTCTGACGAAGTTCAGGAGAGGTTGGAGCTGTTTGGATATAACAAGCTTGAAGAGAAGACTGAAAACAAATTCCTCAAGTTCTTGGGATTTATGTGGAATCCTCTTTCATGGGTTATGGAGGCTGCTGCTCTCATGGCCATTACTCTTGCACATGGAGGGGTATGAATATCAAAGTTCCTTCCTTTTTCCCTGTGCTGAACATGTTCTTGAAAGATAATGAAGTTTTGATCGAGGGAATTCGTAATCTGGTTCAATGCAGGGGAAGAGTGCAGATTACCATGATTTCGTTGGCATCATAGTGCTGCTTATAATCAACTCCACTATCAGTTTCATAGAGGAAAACAACGCTGGCAATGCTGCTGCTGCTCTCATGGCACGGCTGGCGCCAAAGGCCAAGGTCCTTCGAAACGGCAGATGGAGCGAGGAAGATGCTGCGGTTTTGGTGCCTGGAGACATAGTCAGCATCAAGCTTGGCGATATCATTCCTGCTGATGCCCGCCTTCTTGAAGGAGATCCCTTAAAGATTGATCAGGTTAGTTCTTTTTGAAATTTAGACCTTTAGAATTTTTTGTGCTTTCCAAGTAATGTCTTGTTCTGAAAACACACGTATCAAATTCTTACAGGCTGCTTTGACTGGAGAGTCTCTTCCTGTGACCAAGAGTCCTGGAGATGGAGTATACTCTGGCTCAACTTGCAAACAAGGCGAAATAGAAGGAGTTGTGATAGCAACTGGAGTTCATACATTCTTTGGCAAAGCAGCTCATCTTGTTGATAGCACAAACAATGTTGGCCATTTCCAAAAGGTTTGTTTTATCCTCTTAGAAAAATAATATAAGGAGGGAAACCTATTTTGCAATAACCTGGATCACTAATCGAGTTGGTACTACTGCACATGATTTCAGGTTTTGACAGCAATCGGAAACTTCTGCATCTGCTCAATTGCTGTTGGTATGGTGATCGAAATCGTGGTGATCTATGGCCTGCAAAAGAGAGCATACCGAGTTGGGATTGATAATCTACTTGTTCTCCTGATCGGTGGAATCCCAATTGCCATGCCAACTGTTCTCTCAGTCACTATGGCAATTGGATCACATCGCCTGTCTCAGCAGGTAATGCCTGTGGTTAATCTTCAGCACTAATATTTGGTAGCAAGAAGTATAAAACTTGGGGGATATCATTGAACTTTGAAAATGTTCCCTAGGGTGCCATCACTAAAAGAATGACAGCTATTGAAGAAATGGCAGGAATGGATGTTCTTTGCAGTGACAAAACAGGCACATTGACACTCAACAAGCTAACTGTGGACAAAACCATGGTTGAGGTAAGTGAATAGAATGCTCTTCTTGAGACCTGACCTAAGTTGCCAGAGGAACTAATTGCCTTCATGATCCTAAGGTTTTCGCCAGGGGTGTTGACAAGGATTTGGTCGTGCTGATGGCTGCCAGAGCATCAAGGCTTGAGAACCAAGATGCCATTGATACTGCAATTGTTAACATGTTGGGAGACCCTAAGGAGGTACTCTCTTTTTTCTAGTTGAATATAGCATCTCTGCTTCAGAATGGAAATTTTGGGTTTTTCACTTTCCAACTACAATGGGTTAACTTTTGAAGGCACGAGCTGGGATCAGAGAAATTCACTTCCTTCCCTTCAACCCAACTGACAAAAGGACTGCCCTCACATACTTGGACGGTGAAGGTAAAATGCACAGAGTCAGCAAAGGTGCACCAGAACAGGTACACAATCAGAACATCGATAGTACATGAAAAATGGTGCATTGGCTTTCATTCTAATAAGAAAACTCAGCTCTTCTTGCTGTTACATTCAGATTCTCAACCTGGCACATAACAAAAAAGAACTTGCAAACAAGGTTCATTCGATCATTGACAAATTCGCAGAACGCGGATTGAGATCCCTTGGAGTTGCTCGCCAGGTGAACTACTGATGTGCAATATCATCAGTCATGAATCATGTTATACAAGGGCCCATTTCAATGCCACCAATCATACTGAAACACTGGAAAAACTCTTTTTCTCCCTTTTCAGCAAGTTCCAGATGGAAATAAGGACAGCGCCGGAGGACCATGGGAATTTGTTGGCCTTCTCCCACTCTTTGACCCTCCTCGTCATGACAGTGCTGAAACAATCAGGAGAGCTTTGGATTTAGGTGTCAGTGTTAAGATGATTACAGGTGATCAGCTCGCTATTGGCAAGGAGACGGGGAGAAGGCTTGGAATGGGAACAAATATGTACCCGTCTTCATCTCTGCTTACCGAGGGTGGCAACGAAGCAACTGGGTCTCTCCCCATTGATGAGCTCATTGAGAAAGCTGATGGCTTTGCCGGAGTGTTCCCTGGTAATAAAACAAAATCGAACATCCCTTCGTTTCCATTTCAAGGTCTGTGATCCCAACAATGAGACAACTTTTCACATTATATGGCAGAACACAAGTACGAGATTGTGAGGAGACTTCAAGCCAGGAAGCACATATGTGGAATGACTGGCGATGGAGTGAACGATGCCCCTGCCTTGAAGAAAGCCGACATTGGTATTGCAGTGGCGGATTCAACTGATGCTGCAAGAGGTGCTTCTGATATAGTCTTGACAGAGCCTGGTCTCAGTGTCATCATCAGCGCTGTGCTGACTAGCCGATCCATCTTCCAGAGAATGAAGAATTACACTGTAAGTAAACCCATCTTCCTGAAGGCATTTTTTACAACTTCATGAAGAAATACTAACCCTGTCCTGCTGTGATGGTACGATTTTTTTTCTTCTTGTTTCCAGATTTATGCAGTGTCCATCACCATCCGTATCGTCTTTGGATTCTTGATGCTGACTTGCTTCTGGAAGTTCGACTTCCCACCTTTCATGGTCCTAGTCATAGCCATTCTTAACGATGGTCAGCTTCCTTCCATTTCCCCACTTCCTTGTTCCTTGAATTACAAGCTTACATGAACCATTATCCAAGTGTCTACAAGTTTTCATTGGTTTCTGTTTCGGGTTGCAGGAACAATCATGACCATATCCAAAGACAGGGTTAAACCATCACCCGTACCTGATAGCTGGAGGCTGAGTGAGATTTTCGCCACTGGCGTCGTCCTTGGTGGCTACTTAGCACTCATGACCGTCGCCTTCTTCTGGCTGGCTTACGAAACCAACTTCTTCTCGGTAAGTAGCAAACAATCAGTGTTCTTTCCTCTCATGATCGTCCACTAGAAAATCGAATGCATCATTTCCCCTCTCCCCTTTTCCCCTTTCAACAGAAACACTTCCATGTGAAGAGCTTCCAGCAGGACGACTACGACCTCACAAACAAAGCAGTTGCTGATCAACTCAACCAGCAACTAGCCTCGGCATTGTATCTCCAGATCAGCACCATTAGCCAAGCTTTGATCTTTGTCACCCGCTCCAGAGGATGGTCTTTCCAGGAACGCCCTGGCTTTCTGCTCGTCTTCGCCTTCCTAGTCGCCCAACTGGTAAAACCTCCATTTCTACTTTTCCATTCAAATGTCACCAAAACGCTTCTACGTATAATCACGCTTTCCCTTACAATTGTACTCAAAATCTACGCTTTAAAGCTCAAAAGCTTAAGTTTCTACACTGCTAGTTCACCAAAACGCTTCAACATAGAATCGCGATTTTGACCGCATTGTTTCCAATCCTACTTAACAACAACAATAGTAAATAGTACTCTCCTGGGTTGCTTGTATGCAGATTGCAACAGTGATCTCGGCGGAAGCAAACTGGAAATTCGCGGGAATCAGAAGCATTGGTTGGAAGTGGACTGGAGCCATCTGGGCATTCAACGCCGTCACTTACATGCTCCTGGATCCCATCAAATTCATCGTCATGTACGCTCTCAGCGGCAGAGCTTGGGGACTGGTTGTGGACAAGAGGACCGCGTTCACCAACAAGAAGGATTTTGGAAGGGAAGAGAGGGAAGCGGCATGGGCGACGGAGCAGAGAACCCTGCATGGACTCCAGAGCGATTCCGACATGAAGATCTTCTCGGAGAAGAGCACTTACAGAGAGATCAGTCTCATGGCGGAGGAAGCCAGAAAGCGCGCTGAGATCGCGAGGATGAGGGAGCTTCACACGCTCAAAGGAAGAGTGGAATCTTTTGCCAAGCTTAAGGGATACGATATCGACTCCATGAACCAACACTACACTCTTTGAAGAATTGGAAGAATTACAGCACTCGTCTGCTCCAAACCAATGTCATTGAATTCATTCTACTCTCTCTTTCTTTCTCTAATATATGTTCGTCGTCTTAATTTCGCATTTCTGTAACAGAAAGTAAATAAAATCCAAATTAATTTTTACAGTTGAGAGAATATGCTTATGATTAAACAAATACCAGAGTTGGGCCCAGTTGACGGGAATTCAACACGAGCTGAAAGGCCCAAGTAGGTAGGACAGCAGGCCCATTTAGTCCCCGCCACGAAAATCTATTACACTTCATCCCTAAGCCGGAAGAGATTGGCGCGCTTTTGCGGTAATGGGTCTCGATCAGTAACCGGAGTTCTAATTTGGTCGTCGATTCAGTCGAAGATGAATCGACGACGACCTTAATTCGGCGGGTTTCAGGTCGCCATTTCTATCCATTCGTATGTAATGTAAGTTCTCGAAACGGTCCGCAATCGGTAGCTCCTCTATTGGAATGCTATTCTCACTCTCTGTTCCCAAAATCATGACCTAAATTTGAATCGATATATCTTTCGGCTCACCGGAGCTGCTATGGCACTGGATCCAGGAGTTCATCTCAGGCGAGGATCCTGAGATTCAGCGCTAAAGGTGAGGTGTTACATTTTGCTGACTAGTTCACAGTAGTCCATGGTTGTTGAAAAGTCATCGCCACACGGAGGTGACCAAATAGTCTTCTGTGGAAATTTGTTTCTCGTCCGTTTACTTTTTGCATCTCGAAGGAAAGGAAAAATGGTGGGCAACGAGTAAAAGACTCGATGGAGTCAGCCTGCCGTATAAACGTCAAAATTTTGCTTCTAATGAAGGGTGGGTTGGCGGCTCTCTTGGGGAAGGAAACTAACCATGAACTCTGCAAATGTTGTTCTACTTTCTCTGCTTCTTTTCTGCCACCAAACATGCTCCGCCTCTCGTGATATGATAGCCGCGAATGAATCCTTGAGCGACGGGAGCCTGGTGATCTCTAGAGGTGGTAGGTTTGCGCTGGGATTTTTCAGTCCTGGCAGTTCGAGCTATAGATATCTTGGCATTTGGTACCATGAGATACAAGAGCGATCCGTGGTGTGGGTTGCTAATCGGAACGATCCCATCACAGGAAGTTCAGGGACTCTTACGGGTCACAGATATTGCAGCCTGTATCTCTATAGTAATAGTAGCAGCAAGCTTCCACTGTGGTCTGCTAATGTTTCAGCGGGATCAAATGGTACCTGTGTAGCTCAGCTGTTGGACTCAGGAAATTTAGTGTTGAGGGAAGGTAAAAGTAAGACGACTACTGTGTGGCAAAGCTTTGATTATCCTTCGGACACTCTGCTGCCTGGGATGAGAGTTGGGTTGAGTAGGAGAACAGGTTTAAGCAGCTTCCTGACATCTTGGAGATCAGCGGATGATCCAGGTACTGGGAATTTCTCATATAAGATAAAGCCAAGTGCCTCATCACAGTTGTTTATGAACCATGGTATCAATTCTTATTGGCGGGCCCCTCCTTGGCCATGGCAGAGGTGGGAGGGTAACCATGAGTTATACAATGACTCATTTGTAGACAATGAGGATGGGGTATTCGTGTCAATTGCTCTTGTGGATTCATCTGTGCTCATGAGGGTAGTCGTCGATCCTTCAGGAATCTTGATGTTAATGACACACGATGAAAGCGATGGCCAGTGGAGGGTCTACTATACAACCCCTAAGCAGAAGTGTGATTTCTATGGCAGTTGTGGCCCTAACAGTAAGTGTGACCCTAGCATTTCTTTTCCATTTGAATGTACTTGTTTACCTGGTTATGAACCTAAGTACCCCAGAAAGTGGCATTTAAGAGATGGATCTGGTGGGTGCGTTAGAAAGAGATCAGAATCATCTTCTTTTTGTGGGGACGGAGATGGGTTTGTGAGAGTGGCAAAAGTGAAGCTTCCTGATACTTCAGCAGCCATCTGGATGGACTTGGGAACAAGGAAATTGACCTGTGAAGGTGAATGCAGAAGAAACTGTTTGTGCTCAGCATATGCTACCATTGCTACTGATGAGAAAGGGATTGGTTGTTTGATATGGTACGGGGCAATGATGGATACAGTGTACTCTCAACCTCGTGATTACGATCTCTATGTTCGTGTTGATGCTCTTGAACTAGGTAAATCAATATGCTCCACAACACTACTCCTCCGCAGCATAACGAAATCTAAAGAAAGCAGGAGTGCAGGAGAAGGGAGCGAATAAACTGATGTTTTTCCTCTCATAAGGCTATGCTCCTTTCTTATTATCTTTCTATGTTTCTGATTGATGTTGTAACCCATTTCATACAGCTGATTATCTGAAGGAGTCCAGTGGCTTTCTTGAGTTGAAGATGAAGTTGCATTTCAGTATTATTATACCATCCATCGTCTCAGCGTGGCTTGTCATTTTCTTGTCTGTTTATTTGTGGCTCAAAAAGCGGAAGAAGAGCAGGGGTATTGATGATCTACCTTCACTATTGCTCTGTGCCTTCATAATTAGTATTTGTGTAAGGGGCAAAGGCTTCAAACATTCTTGTCTGTGTTTATACTTTTGTTTTTTATGGCAGCGAAGAACAGGCAGATCAGGAATATATTTCATCATCCGAGCGATGATTCAAATTACTTGGATGATTCTTTGGCTTCAAAAGACATAAAACGAAGTACTATCTACCCTGAATTATCGTTTTTCAGCCTGAACACCATACATGAAGCCACTGACAGTTTCTCTCTGGCAAACAAACTTGGACAAGGAGGTTTTGGTTTAGTGTACAAGGTAAAGTCTCTATGCAATGTCCGTAAAACTTGACCATGACTGCTATGATTTAGTTATTCTTGAAATCTCAGGGAAAATTGCCCAATGGACAAGAGGTTGCTGTAAAACGATTGTCCAAAAATTCAAATGAGGGGATGGAGCAATTCAAGAATGAAGTATTCTTAATTGCAAAGCTCCAACACAGGAACCTTGTGAAGCTTTATGGTTGCTGCATCGAGCAAGATGAACAGATTCTGATTTATGAATTCCTGCCCCACAATAGTTTGGATTCGCTTCTCTTCAGTAAGTCTCCTGTATCTCATGACGTCTTCCTGGTGGGATTCTACGATGGAGCTGACTTGACATTTTCATTTTGATATCCACGTGTAATCTTTGACAGTTGACGAGAGCGTAAGATCAGTTTTAGATTGGGGGAAACGGTTTAACATCATTGTTGGTATTGCTCGTGGGATCTTGTATCTTCATCAGGATTCAAGATTCAGAATAATTCATAGAGATCTGAAACCTAGTAATATTCTCCTGGATGCTGAGCTGAATCCCAAAATTTCTGATTTTGGGATGGCTAGAATATTGAAAGGTGACCAAATGGAAAGGAAGACAACTAGAATTGGCGGAACTTAGTAAGTTATATTGCTTGAAAGAGCTACCTTTGTGTTCTAGTGCATTGTGATTGTGAATGTTTGAAGTGGAACACTCTTTTCCATGTTGCTTGGTGCAGTGGCTACATGTCACCTGAGTACGCGCTCTTTGGAAGGTTTTCTGTGAAATCAGACGTGTTCAGCTTTGGGGTGATATTACTGGAGACTGTCACTGGGAAGAAAATGAATGAGTTTTCTTTGGAAGATCCTTCGTTGAGCTTGATCGGTTATGTAAGTGGTCTAACTGAAAACATGACCTCAGTACACTACTGTCGCTGCATTGTTCTTGTTAGAAATAGACATTATCAGTAGCTATCTGATAATTGTTACGTGATTTCTTATAAACTGTCACTGGAACTCTGCCCATGATTTCTGTGCAACGGCGAATCACATGATTCTTATTGCTCGTAAACTTTACATGGTACCAGAGCTGTTAAGCTGCCAATGATGTTTATCATCTAACAGTTACAATGGTGGAACTTTTAACAGGTGTGGGAGTTATGGAGGGCAGACAGAATCTCGGAGGTAGTCGATTCGTCTCTGTCACTGTCACACAGATACTTGAACGAGGCACTGAGGTGCATCCAGATTGGACTGTTGTGCGTAGAGGAAATTGCTGCACATCGACCCGATATGCTGGCTGTGGTTCTTATGCTGAACAGTGAAGCAACACCTGTTCCGTCCCCCAAACAACCTGCATTTGTTTGCGCGAGACCCAAGGTGTTGCTCACAAAAGAACGGACATGCTCGGTAAATGAGATGTCATATTCAGGGATCTTTAGTCGCTGACAAAACCTTTCCTTAGTCTGATGCTAGATATCAATGGATATCAGTTTCAATGTAATCATGTACTGGTTTGAAGTTTCTCCTCAATTAAAAACACATTTGATTCGATATGGTCTGATATCTTCATTTGTCTAAGGAATCGAATCGAATCGAATCGAGACATTCTTGATCTGCAATGGTGGCTTATACTCGAACAGCCACGGTCTGGATCATTCAACCTATGCTTACAAGTAATCATCTTAATCGAAACTTCCATTGTGCAGTAACTGGAGCTGCAAAGTGGAGCCACGACTCTGGTACTCCAGTGAAGACTGATCCAGATAGCTAGTTTCCAAGCATCTTCAGTTCAGCGGACCAAGTATAAAGTTCCACCCACGAACATGTTATTTTTTGCTTGATATTAAAAAATGATTAAGCTATATCTGAATGTTGGATTGCTGGTATGCAAGAAGAGGTGACAGGGAGGGGATGAGTGTGCTGTCTCTTCTGCATTCTGGTGTGTTCTGGTTGGCATGGTATGGAAGTAACATGGCGGAAAGCATTTTTGGTGGGAATTGGGCTTCGTTATTGTCCACTTTGTAGTTGATGTTGGTTCATGGGTAGTCAGAAAACATGACACCTGTTCGTGGGCTTTTCAGGTTGGCTACAAGCCTATAACACTCTTTTTTCTATGTGAATCGGTTTTACTTAGACAGCTGATAATATTTCACTGTTGTTCATCGGAGAAAAAAACTGTGTATAATTATTTCTGAGTCATTATTTTGACAATGTACAGGCAGAGAAGAAGTCTCTTGCTGACAAATCAAGCTAACATGCATATGCCAGATCATAAGCACATATATTACACACACTAGGCACTCGCGTAAGAGCAACGATTAATGCTCACATGGAGAAAAGATACTCTCGGTTACGATGTGAGATTCACCTGGGAGGAGTTCAAGCAAGGAGACTGAATGAACAGCAACCTAACAACTTGCAACAACAGAAACAACCAACTAACTTTCCCGCTGGTTTCTCCCGTGGCCTAGTGGATGGATGCTCAGTCTTCTAACTCTTACTAAATCCCCTTGGGTTTAGGTTTCGGAGTTAGTAAGACGCCGACATCTTTCCAGACAAGAATAAAACAATGATTAAACTGTCGGACTTCTCCCCGGAAAAGGGACCAGGTGTGCAGCTGATTGGGGAACCTGCCGCCCGATTGGAACTCGAAAACCCGGTGGGTGTTGGAGTTCGGGGAGACCCGCCTTCCGATTGGCTTCCGTTTGTTCTCCGATTGAGATGTCTACTTCCACGGATTGTTTCCATAAATAGAGTGTTTCCAGAAAGAAACTTCCACCAACACTATTCCTCTTCTTCTCCTTTCTCCCGCCATAACATGGAAGCTAATTGAAAAAGATGGCGCCACCGCAATATTGAAAGAAGAAACCAGATAAGAGATATAACCCCTTTTCTCCTCCAAGCTCCTCATTGCAAAAGATGAGAACTTTACTTCTCTTCTTCTTGTTCTGCTCTGTTCTTTACCTCTTTCCCCGAACTGGATCCGCCACCGACGTGATGACAGCCGATCAATCCTTAGTCAACAACCAGACCCTTCTCTCCGCCGGCAAGATTTTCGAGCTGGGATTCTTCACCCCGGGAGGAAACTCCAGCAACTGGTACCTCGGAATTTGGTACAAGAACATCCCTCAGCGAACCTACGTCTGGGTCGCCAACAGAGACGATCCTTTCCAAAATCTGTCCGCCGCCGCCTTCAGAATCGCCGACGGGAACCTCGTCCTCCTCGACCAACGCGCCACGTATCCCCTCTGGTCGACGAACCGGACGACGGTGTCAGGAAATTACCCAATTGCGCAGCTTCTCGACTCCGGGAACCTGGTCCTGAGAGATGGAACAGAGTCCAGTCGAATCCTATGGCAGAGCTTCGACTACCCGACCGACACTCTGCTTCCGGGGATGAAATTGGGCTGGGATCGAACCACGCGGCTCGATCGGTTCCTCAATTCCTGGGCGGGACCGGAAAACCCAGGAACCGGGAAATTCTCCTTCGAATTAAACCACACCGGGTTCCCGGAGATCTTTCTGGTCGAATCCAGTTCGAGAATCGTGTACCGGAGCGGGGCGTGGAGCGGGTCGCGGTTCAGCGGCGTACCCGAAATGCAGCCCCTCAATCACGCCTCCTTCGAATTCGTTACCGGCAGCCAAGAGGTCTACTACTCGTTCCACGTGTCTTCCCACACGATCTACTCCCGATTGACGGTGACTCCCGACGGGATTCTCCGGCGGTACACGTGGATCCCTGAGATTGGCCAGTGGAGGCCGTTCTGGTACGCGCCCAAAGATCAGTGCGATAACTACAGGGAGTGTGGGGTTTACGGGATCTGCGATTCGAATTCGTCGCCGGTTTGCAAGTGTATCCCCGGGTTCCGACCCAGGTACCCGGAAGCCTGGAATTTGAGAGACGGGTCGGGCGGGTGTGCCCGGAAGACCGATTTGGATTGCCCCCGGGATAAGTTTCTGAAGACCAGGAATGTCAAGCTGCCGGAGAGCGCGGCGGCGGTGGTCGACCGGGGATTGGGATTGAAGCAGTGTGGGGAATTGTGCGCGAGGAATTGTTCGTGTACGGCTTACGCAAGCGCGAATGTCACCGGCGGCGGGTCGGGTTGTGTGATTTGGTTCGGCGGGTTGGTGGATATGCGGCAGTACCCGGACGGCGGGCAAGATCTCTATGTTCGTTTGGCAGCTTCGGATTATCTGAAGGAATCCAATAGCATTCTTGAGTCGAAGATGAAGATGTTGTTGATCATTATCATCCCGTCGGTCGTCTCAATAATATGTGCAGTCATTGTCCTCTCTGTTTATTTCTGGCTCAGAAAGCAGAAACAGAGCAAGGGTAATTTTTCTCCAGGGTTCAAAGCTTGAAACTTTCTTTATCTGTGGTTGGACATTTTTTGTGATTTTTGTTTGTTTGATTTGGATGGCAGTGAAGAACAACCTGATCATAAATCTGTTTCATCCGAGTGACGGTTCAAATTACTTGGACGATTCTTCGGCTCCAGCAGACATCAACCGAACTACTAGCTACCCTGAATTACTGCTCTTCAGCCTCGACGCCATACACGAAGCTACTGACAGTTTTTCTCCAGCAAACGTACTTGGACAAGGGGGTTTTGGTTTAGTGTACAAGGTAAGATCTCTACTCGATGCAATCTCTGGTCCCAGATAAGAAAACTTGACTGTGGCTGCTGTGATTTAGTTCTTCTTGGCGTTTCAGGGAAAGCTGCCCAGCGGGCAAGAGGTTGCTGTAAAACGATTGTCCATAAATTCAACTGCTGGGCTGGAGCAGTTCCAGAACGAAGTGTTCTTGATTGCAAAGCTGCAGCATAGGAACCTTGTGAAGCTTTATGGTTGCTGCATTGAGCAAGATGAACAGATTCTGGTCTATGAGTACCTGCCCCAGAATAGTTTGGACTCGCTTCTCTTCGGTAAGCGATCTCTTGTAATTTCACGATGGTCCTCGTGGCGGGACGCTGATGATTTGACATTGTTGTTCAATTTCATTTTTGGACAGTAGACGAGAGCTTAAGGTCAGTTTTGGATTGGAGGAAACGATTTAACGTCATCGTGGGAATTGCTCGTGGGATCTTGTATCTTCATCGAGATTCAAGATTCAGGATAATACATAGAGATCTGAAACCCAGTAACATTCTCCTTGATGCTGAGCTGAATCCCAAAATTTCTGATTTTGGGATGGCCAGAATATTGAACGGCGACCAAGTCGAAGGGACGACAAGCAGAATTGGCGGAACGTAGTAAGTTCATATATATAAATCTGCTTGAAAAGAGCTACCTTTGGTGCTCAAATGCGTCTTGATTTCGTGAATTGTGAAGTATGACACTTTTTTTCCCATGTTGCTTGGTGCAGTGGCTACATGTCACCTGAGTACGGGCTCTTTGGAAGGTTCTCTGTAAAATCTGATGTGTTCAGCTTTGGGATGATATTGTTGGAAACGGTCACTGGGAAGAAGATCAATGGGTTTTCCCAGGAAGATCCTTCGTTGAGCTTGATCAGTCATGTAAGTGGTCTAGTTGAGAACATGGTCACAGAGCTATTAAGCTACCAATGATGTTTTATAGTCTGATAGTTTTTCAATGGTGAAACTTTTTCAAACAGGTGTGGGAGTTATGGAGGGCGGGCAGAGTCTCGGAGGTAGTCGATTCGTCGCTGTTACTTAGAGACTCGAACGAGGCAGTGAGATGCATCCAGATTGGGCTGCTCTGCGTGGAGGAAACTGCAGCACATCGGCCAGATATGCAGGCTGTGGTTCTCATGTTGAGCAGCGAAACAACGCCAATTCCGTCTCCCAAACAACCTGCATTTGTTAGCGTGAGATCCGAGGTATTGCTGACAAGAGAACTAATTTGCTCGGTAAATGAGATGTCATTTTCGGGGATTTTTAGTCGTTGACGTAACTTTGTAGTCTAGTTCCCTGAAGGATTTTCAGGAACTTTTAGTTGCTAACATAACCTTTTAGTAGAGTGATCAAAGAGATTGAGTCAACTTAAAAATTTGAAACTCAAAATTGAGTCGGATGATATATTATTTTGATATAATTGATTGTATCCCGGAAAATTGTGTCAGCTACAGACGTCGGGTTCAAGGCTCCATGGACTATCTACTTGCTTTTTCTCATCCTCTTTGATGATGTAAATGACTAATTGTAGTGTAGGTTTTACAGAAAAAAGCATTAATACCCACTCATGTCCATGTAGTATGGCTAGTTGGGAATCATTCACTTTGGATTGTGTTTGCTAACACATATGCAACTGTACCATAGGCATTGTTGGGTGTTTGAGATTGTAAATGATGCATTTGACGAATTCATGTACTGTTGTACATAATTTATCTTTTTTTGTGTTTCGAAGTGAAACATAATATATGTATTTGATTGTTGATTTGATATATTGAATCATTTATTCTTGAATTATTTATAATCTCAATCAATGACTTCTTGTACTCGTTTTCCTTATTCATCCAAATTCAGTCATGTTTATGCATATCGTGGTATCAATTCAATTTTCCTTTCTCGTCTATTTCTCGCGTTTCGGTTTGAGTTTTTAAGAGCCTGAAACGGCTCTCGCTTCAACAACGTTTCATAATTTTACGTTTCTTCAACCGTTTCGCCTCCATTCGTGACTCGGACAAATACTCGAGTGGGCCAAAAGCCCAGCGAACTGGAGAGCTGGCCCATTTAGCGCCCGCCTCGGTGGTCGAAAGCCTTCCGCTGGATAGCCTAAAATGCAGTAGTATTCTTCGCGCGCTCCGTCCGTCTTAGAAATGTGAGCTAACCGGACGGCGAAGGGCTAGACGTATGCTCCAAGATTAGGGTTAGGGACTTAGGGTTAATGTTTCCTCCCTCCGATCTGAATCTCGATTAGGAGCAAAATTCAAACTTTTGCTGAAGATTCACTGGAAGATGAATCGGAGAGATATACGTCGATCCTTGATTCGGCGGCACCGGTACCAGCGCCGCCGACAAGTTGCCTGCAAATCAGGTGTGACTTGTTCAATTTCTCCGTCGTTAGCGAGAGTCTGCAATCAGGTGCCTTCTCAATTTCTATCTCCTGCGGCGGAAATCTCGTATTCGAATGGCGTTCACACTTGCTTTCCCGTAACTCTAACCTGGGAAATGAGTCGCTATCAATCGCGCCACCCGAATCACTAACGCATAACTATGGCCCTCCACCTTCGGTGGAAGAGTCCATGTCAGGTACAGATCTCGTGAGTCAGCGCTGAAGGATAGCGGTCCTCTGTTGGTACAATTTTTTATTACTCAGCTGCAGTCCATAGAAACGTAAAAGTAATGGACACTTAGGCATGGATATGGAAATTTGGTGCGCCGTCGATTGATGTTAGGTATCTGGAGGCATTACAAAATGGTGGACAATTGAATCAGAGTCTCTAAATAGTCAAGCCTGCCACGGCAAAAGTTTTTTTTTTTTTTTTGGCCTTCAGTGAAGCTTCTCGGTAATTTTGTACTTTTTGATGGATGGGTTTATCATTTAATGAAGCTTAGGCTGGCGGCTGGTCGTGTGGAGGTAATGATTCACCACCATGGACGTTGCAATACTTGTTCTGCTTTCTCTGCTTCTTTTTTGCCAACAGACATGCTCTGCCTTTCGTGCTGCCATAGCTGCGAATGAATCCATTGCCGATGGAAGCCTGTTGATCTCCAAAGGTGGTAAATTTGCTCTGGGGTTCTTTAGTCCGGGCCGTTCCAGGGGCAGGTATCTTGGAATTTGGTACCACGAGATACCAAACCGCACTGTGGTGTGGGTTGCAAATAGAGACAATCCAATCAGTGGGACTTCAGGAGTTCTTTCGCTTAACGGATATTGCAACCTTTTTCTGTATAGTAACAGTAGCAGCAGGCTTCCAGCATGGTCTGCTAATGCTTTAGCGGGATCAAAAGGTCCGTGCCTGGCTCAGTTACTTGATTCAGGAAATTTAGTGTTGATGGAAGGTGGTACGAGTAAGATGGCTACTGTGTGGCAGAGCTTTGACAATCCTACAGACACTTTTCTACCTGGCATGAAAGTTGGTCTGAATCGGACAACAGGTGTAAGTCGCTTCTTGACATCTTGGAGATCAGTCGATGACCCTGGCACAGGGCAGTTCTCATACAAGCTTAACCCAAGCGGCTCGCCACAGTTGTTTCTGTACCGAGGTATAAATCCTTATTGGCGTAACGTTCCATTTCCATGGAAAAGTTATGAACTATTTAATGACTCTTTTGTTAATAATGAACTGGAACTATCCTATTCATATACTCCCGGGGATGCTTCTGCTCTTATGAGGGTGGTCATTGATCCTTTGGGTTTGTTGAAGTTCTTGGCATGGGATCACGGTGATGGCGAATGGAAGGTATTTTTTTCATCACCTAAGCAGATGTGTGATTTCTATGGGAGCTGTGGTCCTAATGGCAAATGTTATTCTAGCATTGTTTTCCCATATGAATGTGCTTGTCTACCTGGGTATGAACCGAGGTACCCTCGAAACTGGAAATTAAGAGATGGATCGAGTGGCTGTGTAAGAAAGCAATTAGAATCATCTTCTATATGTGGGAGCGGAGAAGGGTTTGTGAGAGTTGAAAAAGTGAAGATTCCTGATACTTCAGCAGCAGCTTGGATGAACTTGAGCGTGAGTAAATTGAATTGTGAAGCAGAATGCAGAAAGAACTGTTCATGCTCTGCATATGCTACCTATGATAATGGGAAAGGGACTTCCTGTTGGACATGGCATGGGGAGCTGATGGATACGGTGAACTTGCCAGTCGATGCTTATGATCTATATGTTCGTGTTGATGCTCATGAATTAGGTACCTGTATGCTCTTCAACATTAACTCTCTCACGCGTTAGAGAAAGGAGGGGATTCAAATGATTCTGTTCTTGCATTCTGATTGCGTTTGCTTTTGATGAACAGCTGATTATATGAAGGAATCCAATAAATTTCTTGAATTCAAATTGAAGTTGAAGTTGAGTATCATTGTACCGTCCGTTGTCTCAGTATGGCTTGTCATTATCCTGTTGGCCTATTTGTGGCTGAGGAAGTGGAAGATGAGGAGGGGTATTGATCTGACTTCACCGGTTCTTTGTGCCTAATTGTCTTCATAATTTATCTGTTTTCTAAAAGCTGTGAATTCTGAGTTGTTAATTTATCGCAATTAATCTGCTGTTTCTGTGAATGGCAGTGAAGAACAGACGGATCAGAGATTTATTTCATTACAGTGATGGTTCAACTTACTCGGAAGATTCTTTGGCCCCAAGAGATTTCAAGCGAAGTACTATCTACCCCGAGTTACCATTTTTTAGCCTCAGCACAATACATGAAGCCACTGACAATTTTTCTCCGGCAAACAAACTTGGACATGGGGGTTCTAGCTTAGTCTACAAGGTAAAGCCTCTTTGCAACAACGTCTGGAAGCTTGATTATGGCTGCTCTCATTTAATTCTCCTCTTGACATTTCAGGGGAAACTATCAAATGGACAAGAGGTTGCTGTCAAACGATTGTCCAAGAATTCAAGGCAGGGCTTAGAACAATTTAAGAATGAGGTACTATTAATTGCAAAGCTCCAACACAGGAACCTTGTGAAGCTTTATGGTTGCTGCATTGAGGAAGATGAACAGATGTTAGTTTATGAATACTTGCCGTATAACAGTTTCGATTCGCTTCTTTTCGGTAAGCTCCTGTACCTATTGATGGTCTAATTGTGTGACTAATGAATCTTGTCTGCCAATCTGATGTTATTATTCTTTTCATTTTCATTTTTTCTTTTCTATCTTTGATAGTTGATCAGAACAAAAGATCAATCTTGGACTGGAGGAAACGGTTTGAGATCATAACCGGTACTGCACGTGGGATCTTGTATCTTCATCAGGATTCAAGGTTCAGAATAATTCATCGAGATTTAAAACCGAGCAATATCCTCCTTGATGCTGAGTTGAATCCCAAAATTTCTGATTTTGGGATGGCTAGAATGTTGGACAAGGATCAGGTTGAAGGGAAGGAAAGTAGAATTTGTGGAACTTAGTAAGTTTCTATTTAGAGAATAAGCTGTTAAGAGTTAGGTTTTCGGGTGTAATGTGGATTGGTGAACTCTAATAATCATTTCAATGTTGGTTCTGCAGTGGATACATGTCACCCGAGTATGCGGTGTTTGGAAGATTTTCAGTGAAATCCGATGTCTTCAGCTTTGGCGTTATCTTGCTGGAAACTGTATCTGGGAAGAAGAGCAATGGGTTCCCAGAGGAGGATGCTTCTTCGAGCTTGATCGCCCATGTAAATGGTTAAATATTGGTCAGCAGAATTCAGTTGATTCATGTTGCTGCATTATGTAATTGAGGAGCTTTCTTTGACAGGTGTGGGAGTTATGGAAGGCAGACAGAGCCTGGGAAGTAATCGACGCATCGCTCTCACTTAAATGCTCGAATGAGGCACTGAGATGCATCCAGATCGGGTTGCTGTGTGTGGAAGAAAACGCAGCAGATCGCCCCGATATGCTGGCTGTGGTTCTTATGTTGAGCAGCAAAACAGCTCCTGTTCCCTTGCCTAAACAACCTGCATTTGTTTGCGTGAGATCCAAGGTACTATTCCCAAAAGAAGCGACTTGCTCAGTAAATGAGATGTCATTTTCGGGAATCCATAGTCGCTGAAGTCAGTCCTTAATTTAGTGATGAAGATGTCATTTCAATGTGTATACGTACTGGTTTGAAGTTTCTTTGATTCTTTCACCTAGTCTTAATTTTGTAAATGGGATTTTCACCGTTTCTTCTTAATGTGAATATGTGATAATATCCGTGTCAAGTTCTTTGCTTCCTTAACCAAGTACACTTAATAATATCCTGTGATTAGTTAAATGATAATGCACTCCAATGCTTTTCTGGATTCTTCCCTCATCTTCCCCTTAATGTTTGCTCGTTCGTTTTAGATCCCCTAAAGTTGTTTTTAAAGGCATTCTTAGACTTGCTTGATTTTGTATAAGTGACATTTGTAAGTGTAAAGATGGCACGAATCTTCTTGTGTGGAAGAACTTGCACTATAATTTCCTTTAAATCAGCCGCCAATCGTCGGAAAAAATCCCAAAATACCCTACCTATTAAAAAAAATTCCTCAAATACAAGACTTATAAAAAATTTTCCCAAAATACAGCAGTTTCACCATCACTGTCATTGTCCAAGACAGTGATGGTGTTCACCGTTTTGGTCCAAAACGGTGATAGTATCACCGCTTTAAACAACAACAGTGATGCTATCACCGTTTTTGTCCAAAACGGTGAAGCTATCATCGCCTTCAACCAACGCGGTGATCGATTGACCGTTGATAAGAACAACGGTGAAGGTTTATCACCGTTGAGATCAAAAACGGTGAAGTTGGCGCGGATCGCTGACGTGGCGAGGAGCGGGGACTTCACCGCGTAAGACGAAAGCGGTGATAGCCCCGCCCCGCCACGTCAGCGATCCGCGCCATCCGCGCCTTTCACCGCTGCCGTTCGATGCGGTGAGGCGCGGATTGTGGTTTTTCTCCACGATCCGACGCCTCACGCCTCGCCACGTCAGCGATCCGCCCATCATCGCCTTTGACTGGAGCGGTGTTGTCACTGCAGGCGAGGAAAGCGGTGATTGGCCGCCATAAATTTCCAGCGTCCCCTTCCCCTCCCTTCCCCCCTATAAATACCACTCCCCCCCCTCATTCCAAATCACACCACCAAATTTTATACTTCTTTCTCCCTCCAACTTCACTCTAGTTTCGTTCTAAGTGTGCTCTGTGGTTGCGGCTAAGTCCGATCTTCCGCATCAGAAAGAATTACTAGAGTTTTGGTTTTTTGTCGATACTCTCGCTAGCTTTTCGGCAAAAAATGGACGAAGAGGCTTTGAGAGTACGTAAATTTATTTAATTCTTTTGTGATTTTTTTTTACATGGGTGCTAAAATTTAAATTGATTTGATTTCAAATTTTTTTATAGATGGGTGCTGAGATATACGACCCTAGATTGTATATCGATTCTAGCCCCGTTGTCCATGTGAAATGTCCACATGTGCAGATCTTGACCTTCTGCCCATACTGCTCCCGCCCGGTGTATTTGACGGATCGTCTTCATCTTCTGCTCGTACTTTTTTGGTTGATGTGCAACCGCTACAAGACCGAATAATTAATAATTAATCCATAAGAAATTTCATTTGAACAATAAACCATGAATCAGCACTGAATTACATTATTACCTGCACTCCACAATTGATCTCTTATGTCTTTCTTCTTGCCAAATTTGTGTTGGAAATTGGCTAGGAAGTGACGAATACACCAACGCCATGTCCATCCTCATTCGTCCGGGAAACCACGGACGGCGTGTTTAATCCCGGCATGTCGATCCGATATAATTGTAATACCCATTCTTTGTGTGACGTGGGCGTGTAGCTGGTCAAAGAACCATGCCCAACTTAGGTTGTTCTCCCCTTCAACTAATGCAAATGCTAAGGGAAAAATACTTAAATTTCCATCAACCCCAGTGGCAATAAGAAGAGTTCCTTTATACTTCCCAGTAAGGAAAGTTCCATCAACCTGTTAAAATGAATAATGAGTTAATAAAAATTGAAATTAGTAAAGTAATGAAATAGTACAATATTTTGAGTCCGTAATATACCTGAATCACTGGCATGCAGAAGGGAAACCCGTCAATGCATGGATTGAATGTCCAGAACAGACGATGAAACATCAACTCGTTCTGTACTCGAACTTGATCTTCAGTTTCTACGTTGTTGTACCAAGGCACGAAAACCGTCCCAGGGTTGGACTCCTCCATTGCGGACATTAGTCTGGGGAGTAAAGCATACGAGTCATCCCAATCACCGTAGACATCAGCCATGGCCTTCTGTTTCCCATGCCACGCCTTCTTATACCTTATGGTGTAGGAGTGTCGATCCTTCACCTCCGCCATGATAGCTTTTATCTTGATATCTGGTTGTGCCTCGATAAGGTGCTTAATGGTTCTTGCCACTTTTTTTGCTTTCAGTTGCCGGTGATCCTGTGAAAGTATGGTTGAGGAGCAACTGTGGTTGTTCTCTACTGTCCGCATGACCCAGACCCCCTTTCTCTTCATATATGCAGCACGAAGTTGCCACATACAACCCTCTCCAGCATTCTTACAAATGACATGCAGTTGTCCCTTGTCAGAATATTTTACCTTCCATTCGAAATTACGCCGCATGGCTTCTTCGCTAAAAGCGTCTTGCACATCGGCTTTCGAAGTGAACGCCATACCCACTTCCAAATTAGCAGTCGGATTATACACAGGCATGGGCCGAAAGTCAGGGGCATCGTTCTGACCATATAAAAATTGATCAGGAACCTCTGTGTAGTAAGGAGTTGGTGCCTGTCGGAACGCCACCTCACTGTCATCGATATCGTCGTTATCGTCCGTATCTTCCTCCTCACTGACAGATCTCAAATCTTCCTCACTTTCATCGTCACTGGAGGCGAATGGATAGGTCGGCGAAGGATGGTCATCGTTAGCAGCATAACCAGCATCGCCTTCTTGGTCATGCGAAGGACGCCCAGTTCGAAGGGTGTTTTCAATGTCACCCCACTCTGGACCCCAAGCAGGCCATTGATCACCGTCGGGCTGAACGATATCGACGGCAGTCTCACCACCATGTGGCAGGTATTCTTCCCACCCAACACCTCCTTCAGAACTACCTCCTCCGTAGTTGCTTGAAGTACCTCCCCAACCATACCCTCCGGCAGAAGAACCTGCTCCGTAGTTACTTGAACTACCACCCCAGCCATACCCTCCTGCAAAACCATCATCATAAGAATACTGGTGAGAATGAGTTTCACCGACCGGCTCGGTCTCGACATACACCTCTGCAAGCCGCACGCCGTTCTCAGATATGAAATGTGTCATCATGTTCGCGTCGTCATCATCATTTATGTCAACTTTTTCGTACATGACTCCGTCAGCACTCATGTTGGGATACCGGTAAGTAATTTGACGAACTCTCATTTGCCCGCCCGTACAAGTCCTTTCTGCACACCTGTCATGGAGTTCTTGCCACGAGGGCCTCGACTCAATTGTAAGCGTACTGGATTCGCCATCTTCATAGTCGATCCCCATGTTCGAGTTTGTCACCCGACCATTCCACCGAATAATAAGCCGAAACTTCTTAAATTTACCCATGTCTGCAATTTATAATAATTAAGTATTAGTATACAATTAGTACATTATGGATACAAAAACAAAACAAACCCATAATAAAATGCAACTAATTGATCTATTATGAGAAAACTAAACAAATTAATCTAATTCAGTACTAACTAACTAACATCTATCATATCATAATTAATCTAAATATATCATAACATATTTTCCAATAACTGCGATTCACTAAAAACAGACATATTCATACTAACAGCTCAACATGTAAAAAATACATACTTATAACATACTCAATCCCGATCTATCATGAGAAAACTAAACAAATTAATCTAAATTCAGTACTAACTAACTAACATCTATCATATCATAATTAATCTATATATATAAACAAATTAATGTAAACAATACGTAATTCTAACATACCGAATCCCGACGAGTTTCTTGAGCAGTAAACCAACTCCAAACCAGCTGAGAAACCGACTAAAAAAAAGGGTTTGTTGTATTTGGTTGCTGTAAGGCAGCAGCAGGAAGGGAGTGGGCTTTGGTATCTATTTATAGGAAAAAATGGCTGCTAATCACCGCTTTGGACTTCGGCGGTGAACACATCATCGCTGTTGTCCAAAGCGGTGATAGCTAGGTCGCTGTGACCTAATTTTTCCACCTACCAGGGTAGAAAAACGTGGTCAATTATCCCCGCTTTTCTCCACCGCGATGCTATCACCGTTTCACATAAACGCGGTGAAGAGATCGATTATCACCGTCGTTGTGAAAGGCGGGGATGCGATCACTGTTGTGGTCCAAAGCGGTGAAGCATTCACTGTCGTGGTCCGAGGCGGTGAAGCAATCACTGTTGTGATTCAAAGCGGTGATGTTATCCCCGCTGTTCTCAAAAGCGGTGATACCTTCCCCGTTTTTAATCAAAGCGATGATTATTATCACTGTCTTGGACAAAGACAGTGATGGTGAAACTGCTGTATTTTGGGAAAAAAGTTTATAAGTATTGTATTTGAGGAATTTTTTTTAATAGGTAGAGTATTTTGGGATTTTTTCCCCAATCGTCATCCTAGTCTACACTCTATAGTATACTAATACAGGTGATGCAGAATGAAAACAGGGGATACAATCCTTAGTTTCCAAATCAAAAGATGGCATTTAGCGAATTAACTAAGTATTAAGTTGATTAGTATCCGTTGATTACTACTTCTAACAACCGCCACTCGCCCAAATCCGCCGCCGGCCGAAATAGAGCGCCACCCACCACAACAGCGCCTCAGTCAAATAACCTTTTACAGTCCAGTTTCTCACCAACAATGGAAATTCCTTTCTCCATAAATCATGATAGGAAATTTGAAAAATAACTCCAGAAAGCCCGCCATTCCAGACAACTCTGACCTCCATGATGAAAACTTGCGTCACCAGATTTCAGATAATGGCCGGTCGCAGGCTCCTTCACCCGCCATTTCTCTTCTTTTTCCTTTTCTTTTCCCTCTTTCGCGCCACCACTTCAAACGACACCGTGAACGCAACCCAACCGCTCAAAGACGGCGACGTATTGGTCTCGGAAACCGGCAAATTCGCCGTCGGATTCTTCTC